CTCCAGATATGGCACCATCAGATTGCCTATCTTTTGCGTTCGCTGCAACACCATCTTAATGGGAAAACGTATGCAAATGTGAAAGGTGTTAAATAGGACATCGACATGTTTTTTTGCTTCAAAGCCAACTGATTTCTTTAATCAGGGTATTAATAACCTGATTGTAAGATGGAAAAGTATCATCGATAAGAATGGAGACTATGTCATTTAATAAATGTTTTGTTTTGATATATAAGTTGTTCGGGTTTTTTTCCATAAAAAAGAAAAATCGACATTAATTTCTTGACGACCTAATACTTACCTATTCACATTGCACCGAGAAAAGGGACTGTTGGCTGATCAGTACGTTTGAATATGTTATGTTTGTGCAAATGATACTGATTTCAAACACTACTAACCTGCAAGTTGATATGACGTCTTGCAGTATTAACGATTATTTGTCATAGAAAAGGGGTTCTACTTTCAGGGTACTATCATACTTTACCTCATATTACTTTATAATTACGTAATATAATTGTTCTAGAGTACATTCATCATTCAGTAGTTACTGTATAATAAAAATATGTTATTGTAAAATATAAAATATAGTTTTGTAGTGTAAATTTCACATCCTGAATAACACAGTTGATAAGAGAATATTTCAAGAACTAAAAAGAAAAAACTAAAGGAATGTTCTCGTTTATACTGACAACTCCCAACAGGTGTGGAAACATCATGTGCGATGTTAATCATGATGTTTTTCTTCAGAAGTCTTATATATTTCCTGGTCGTAGTCAAGCACGTGTGTGCCAAATATTGTGGAATTTGAACCTCCGATAAAGCTTTATTTGTATAGAATTGAAGCCTTTACGTCATTAGACTATTTTATTATTTTTTAGATATTTCCGTCACGTACAGAATCAGAAGAAAACAGATGGGTGTAAAAAATACATAAAAATTGTTTATAGTAAAGCGATGTTTAATAATTAAATGAAATAGACACAACTCATCTGATTTTGATTATCTTCTTGAGTTAGATGGGTGGATTTACTTACCAGGTGGCCCGTTGATTTTAAGATTTGACAAGGTAATGATCACAAAATTACAGCGAATGGAGCGGTTGGTTAGACTACAAGACTTTGACAAGATTCTTATACGCAAACCCATACGTTGGAGCGTACCCAAGGTTTCTTTTTTGCATACACTTTATTAACCAATTTAATAAACTAATTGAGGCCTAGGACCATCGTTGCGAACAACTAGTCTTATTGGTTTGAGCTTTGAAAAGCAAGGAGAAAGTATTTGGTCGTCAGCGTGTCACGTGATTAACTGATTTGTCGTTATTGCTTGCATTTTTTGCTGTTTTTTTTTAAACCTGAAATTGTTCTAAAACAATTTGATAATTAGTGATGTGGCTCTAGATTAAAAGTGTGGAACGTGTAGAACTCTCACGTTAATAAGTTTTTAGGTGTTGTTTTTTAATCAATTGTATTTTATGTATAACAAGTTATGAACAAATATCGTAATGATTGTATTACTGTCCGAGTTGAAATTTTCGTTGGAAACTGTCTTTACGACTATGGTATCTTATTAGTTGGAAGCCTTTAAGTCGCACGATTCTGTTGCTTTACGACTATGGTATTCAACAGAATTCAAAACAAACAAAACATTTTTACTGCTTTTTTAAAAAGGACACAATTCGGTTGAAACTAACAGTGTTGATGCTGAAATCATGTGTTTAAACGTGAAAGTAGTTTTAATGCTAATTGTGCATTTTATTATTTCAGAAACATTAGCGTTGATGGAGGTCCAGCTGCCTGTCAAACAATGGTTGATTTGGACGTAATGACGCCATTGGTGGCGCTTTTACATCAGGTAAGTACGATTTGTTGTTATTTTTTAATATATATATATATATATGTATATATATATATATATATATATAAACATTACTGACAATATGTTGATTAAGCACTGTTCCCTGTAAGCCATCAAATTTTATTTTAACATAATTGAGATTTTAATATTTAGGAGTGGCTTGAAATTCATATTACAGTAAGATGCATATCAGTGCTAGAACGGTAGGGGTGTTTCCATTAATTTAAGTGTTTGTAAGTCTAGGAATTCTGTGCACCACATAACTGGTTTGTGTTGTTAGAAATAGGATTAGCATAGTATCCGTGAGTATTAGTAAATTGCTTAATCATCACATTTGAAAAGTAAAAGCTTTAACCTGGTGTGTAAAAACCAAGAAGAATGAAAAGATAATTCGTACAACAAGTTTGTTTGTTTGTAATTAAGCACAAAGCTACACAATGGGCTATCTGTGCTCTGCCCACCACGGGTATCGAAACCCAGATTCTAGCGTTGTTGGGGGGGGGGGCGTACGTACAACAAGTGCTTTGAGATAATATCACACAGAAGCCTTTCTCCGGCGGCTCGGCGATAAGTGTGATGGCTTGTAACATAAAAAATCGGGTTTCTGTACCCGAGGTGGGCAAAGCACAGATAGCCCATTGTATAGCTTTGTGCTTAACAACAAATAGTATCATCATACTTACAAAATTATATTATTGTCTCAGATTTCACCCTTTCCCCGCAATACCGAGCTTTTGTGAAATTCTTAGAGAATGCGAAATTTATTTATTTTTATTCATAAAGTGAAATTAAAGTATTGATTTTTTAGAAAACCGTTTTTTTTTCATTCAATTTCTCCGAAGCACTTGATCGATATAGGATTTTGCATCTAATACATTCTCATGGTGAGCCCATATTTTTATAAATAATCTAATACATTCTTATGGTAAGCCCATATTTTTATAAATAATCTAATACATTCTCATGGTGAGCCCATATTTTTTTTTTTATAAATATTGTAAATATTTTAATGTACTGACACTATACACTAATCGCAGACCAATGCATGATCTCCACATAATTAAATTTCACATTATTTGTAATTAGAATATATAATATGCAAGTTATGAAGATAGAATGGATTTTACGGCCATTCTGCGTTTAGAACTGCCCTGCATTAGTAATTTGTGATAAAGGATGCGAAATATTATTTAATGGGGATTTTAATCATTATTAACAGTAGTATTATTGCAAATTTTTGCCTGATAAACCATGTATTGGGGGGTTAATTTATACACCCTTTGCTTTTTTAGATTGTTTGAACAAGGGTGGGAGAAAATTAGACGGTTCGGCACTTTCTGTTTTTATTTTTAAAACAGGCTTGTATGTTTGAAATAATCAATGATGGTTTCTAATTCTTGTGTAGGCAGTATTAATCGTTTATGCACAATTTATGTTTCTGTTTCTTTGAATTTTCTAAAATGCATCTTCTTGTCTTTATGACAGCCTTTATGTCTGGCAGGCTGTGTGTAGAAAATAAGAGTTTTGACTCTTGAGATTACAAGGCGTGATCCTGTTTCAGAAATACAAGTTCCTTAGGGATCTACGGGGTCCTTAGGCCAGTAAGCGAACGCGTGTTTCTGAGAAGATAAGGCCTCTACTGTTTGGCTTGAAGCATGCCTTCTGATGGTATGATTTGCCCCGCTGGTATCGTGAGACCTCATTTTTCTTCTGCATATTCCAACCACGTATAAGTTATTTCAATGATGACTGCAACAAAACCTCCGGTGAATATATCTCCATATGCACTTTTCCGGAATTTAAAACGAAACTATCTCAAGGGAAACCTGCCATTTTCACTATTTCCCTTTTTCTTTAAAACCAGCAGTGTAATGATGAAAAATAACGAGAAAAATATGGCCACGGAGACTGAAGTTTAATGAGCTAGGAGTCCCACGAGATACAAGACTAGAGTCAAATGCGTGTGGAAGCATTAGTTTGCATGAATTAGTCTCCCTCCAAAGTTCGATTTTGTAGAAGGGGTTTGGAAGGACGCGAAATGAGCTTCGAGTGGCAGGGGAATTTCAGACAGAGGATTAGACAATGTAATAACGAGACTAGAGGAGCGAATACTAATGAATAGTACTACCTGGGGAAAAGAGAATATAAGATTTATGAATATACAGTACTTCAGTCTTGACTTTCATTTTCTGGGGCTCAACATTAAGGTATTAAGAAGACTTTCTGTTGTTTTCTTTTTAAAGTTTACAGTATGCATCCGATTTCGATTGGGCACTGTACACCTTATCTGTTTGAGTAGCTTTGCAGTTATGTAATCCAACTTGTCGGGTGTTTTTTGTTTCTGAAGAAGAAGGTTTTTTTTTTCTCTTGAGGATGTACAATTCCTACTTTTTCCAGTTTTGACTGGTTTTAAAATGTTTAATGGAGATTTTTATTTTTTATTATTCTAATTAGAAAGAAGGCAAACATTATTTAAAAAAAATTAAAATATGCTGATACAAAAACAGTTTATTAAAGATTGGACATTTTCATCCAAGACCAGAGAATGGTATGTTTTGTTCGGTATTAAATATTTGTATGGTAGATATGTGTGTGTGTGTGTACACATATAAGCCAAAATAATTTATTGTAGAGTACATAAAGTAAAATAAGAAAATATGTTTAGTCGTTCTACGAATTTTGTTTTTTCAATCATCTGGTTTCGTGGAGTAAAGTCCACATCAGGGATGTTGTAGTATGATTTTATCGAATAGTGGATTTGACTCCTCTAAAATTTGCAAAATAGAGAAGACAAGGCCGAACAAATTGTGTATATAGTGCATAAGTAGATCCATAACTATGTTTAGAAAAAGGTTGAATATAAGTGGGTAAAAAAGAAATGCGATTACTTGAATGGATAAATGTAACAATATTATAGGACTTAGCCTGATCGGAAAGAACTAGAACACTCAATGTCTGTTTTGTTTTCTTTCCTTTATGGTCAGAGATACGTAAAGGCTTGAGAAGTTATTTATAATTTAAGGTCATTTTTTTTTCTCTTCTGACGTTTTTCGTGTTTGTTTGTTTTCAATTCTTTCACGCTCGCTCACTGAATACATGCACTGTTCCGTAAGCCACCGTTCATGGTTCTTCTCTGTGTTAGCTGACAAAGTTTGAAACAGAAATGAACCTTCGTGAATAAATGTCAAGAACTGTTTAAAAACAAGTTTTTTTATCATCAATTGGGAGTTGCTTAATAATCCACGGCGAGTTGTCTTGTATGTTAAAACATTCAAAGTTCGGAAAAAGAAAAATAGAAAGAACTTTCGATGTTTCCATTCAAAGTTTTGAGGATTGAATCGGAAATACTGGGGTCCCTCGAGGATTAAAGAAAAGATAGCTTACATTATTTGGCATTAATGAGGATTTTTTTCTTGAGTGTAGCCAAAGTATGCACACCTCTATTTTCTCATCTCATGGGTCCGTGACTTGCTCAGCTGTGTCATTACGCTGTTCTAACCAGCCGCCGCTCTTGATAACATGTAAATTTTGAATCAGCCTTGGACTGCAGGTGATCTCCCTGGACTCTCGCATTCTAGGATTGTTTTTTGTGTTTTTTTTTCAGTGTTTGTTAAATATGCTTATGTATCTTGCCTGAAGACTACTCCATAATGTCAACTTTTTTTTGTTCCCGAATGACTTGGTTTATGCGATCGATTAAAGATTGTTGTTTGTTTTTTGCAGTACTGTAGTCTAGACATTTTCATGAACAGAATTTCAGAAAAGGCTTTTCCATTTTTATCTTTGTTGGTTTGATATCCGGACATCTTAAAAATGAACATCAATTTTCATAAAAGTTTGGTATTTTAGGTAACTTCGGTCTTTGAACGGTTTTTAAATAAACTAAGAAATAAAACAGTAGGTTTATATTTTCTGTGCATTTATAGCAAAAGACGATCATAGATGCACATATATAACGAAACTTGGCTAATACATTTCGTTCTAGTTAAAGAATAATAATGATTTTTGTGTGTGTATGGTGAATACAAAATGTTAATATATTTGTTTGTAATTAAGCACAAAGCTACACAATGGGCTGTCTGTACTCTGCCCACCACGAGTATCGAAACCCGGTTTCTAACGTTGTAATTCCGCAGACATACCGCTGTGCCACTGAGGGCAAATGTTAATATATTGTTCCACATAAAGCTCGTATTCACAAGTTATATTAATTTTCCTTTTATACTTTAAAACCTTTCAAAGTCAGAGACCACAGTGAAAAGAAGGGGCTGACTGTGATATGTATTGTGTTTTTCTTCTTTTTTTTTTGAACTTGTGGGAAGTAATGGCTGTTTGATTTCCATATTTCAATTTATGGAAAAAAAACTTATGTACTATACATACATTGTTAATGAACTGTGTAACTTGTCTTCTAAAGTTGTTTAAGACAGAAACAGAACAAGGATTATGTGTATTAGGGGTAAATGCTAAAATGTTTGTGGTGTCTCAAGGACAATGTCTGAAGAAAAATTGTCTATCAGTTCAATGATACATAAGAAATGAAAAGAGGTAAGTAAGGCTTTTTCTTATTCCTTACATGATTTCTATCAGTCAAGATTCCAAACAAGACTAAATAGTGTTTGATTAAATAGAAACGTAACCTCGTAATATTTATTTTGTTCTTGCGCATTCTAGTAGTGTACGTTGCGCCATCTGTTATGAGGTGCAAAAATTAAACCCTTACTTATTCTGCCTCATAAATGTGGCTGGCCTGTTTAAATATCGGTTTAACTAATATTATAATATATAGTGTGATTATTTTTAAAAATGCTGTTAAAATGATTACGTTAAAATTAATTTTCTTGGGAAAAACAAAGAATATATATTCTGAAAACTTGGTACTCTTAAAATATAAAGCTAGAAAGGACTGTAAAAGACATATCTTTAGCATTAAACATTAAAAGTATATTGATATAAAATTTAACTAGCTTGAATACAAATATTTGTGAGAATCCATTTCCAGTACAATGGAGAATGGCATCCAGTACATTCTGCAGAAAGCAAAATTGACTCCAAGTCAGAAATATTCAAAGAAGCTATTCATTTCTTGTGGAATTTGTGGTAAGTATTAATATTTCTTGCTTAGTTTATATAGTGAAGCTGTACATTTTAAGTAATATTTTGGACTTTTTTATGTGTAGTATGTCTCATTTTTTAGTTCGAGCAAGCAGGGAGTTTTTTATTTTACATTCAATGTGATCTCTCTATTTAAGATGGAAAGTTAATACAGACTAGAAGAAAAATTTTATTTTTTTGAAACCAGTTTAGTTTAGAGCAATTAACTTTTGAGTAAAGTTCACATTTCCAAAATGATAGCCTTATTAAGAAAAAAAATTAGTTCCTTAAGATCAATATCAAGTTATAGTTATTACCAAAGAATTATTCTATCATCTTATGCTGACGATATAAACATTTATATTAGACAGGAGTCAGAATTTAATGTTATTCAAAATACGATTAAGAAATTTGAAGCATATTTGGAATCAAAGTTTAACGAAGAAAAATCCCTTGGTTTATGGTCTGGCACTTGGAAAACATGAACAGAAAAGAAACTAGGCCACACATGGTCGAATCGAGGAATAAAAGTATTTGGAGTGTATTTAGGAAATTCTTTGGTATGGATTCAGAGAAATGTAGTAAACTTATTACAGTCTGGAAGCGTTTTCAACATCTTTTATCATTAAAAGGAAAAAATATTAATTCTTAATCAAATTATTAGTAGTATTATGTGGCACAGATTTCATGTATTAGAACCACCTAAGAATATGATAGTCTTATTAGATTATACAACAGACATATCCACAAACCTTCTCTTTTTATTTCAAAGTAATACTGAAAAGAACCAGATAAAAAGAGGTGAATTTTCTAAGTAACTTAAGCTATCAATAACACTTTCGTAGCACATTGGTTATCATTTAAGGATCGTTTGAGGATGATTATAGCTAAGGCCTCTTCCCTAATCCAAGGTATCTGTTCATGTTCCACTGAAGTAATGATCTTAAAGTATTCTAAGAGGTATGGTGTTTGACAAGATGATCAGTTGCATTCCCTTGTTGCTATGATATTTGTACTTTAAATTATGTGTACTGTCAAACTTTGTTAATGAAGCTCATTTAACCTGCAATTGTTGTAATGGTATACTGAAGTGCAAGTTTAAGGCAGATGCTACATTAATTTCTTATTGTAAATGTATGGAAAACTCTTGATGGCCTAATTGATAATTATTTTTAATATAAAAATCTTAAGACTGGTTATATAAAACTTTAAATTGTACAAATTCATACACATTTACATGCTTCTAGTGTCTAAAATGAAAACAGTGTGTTTGGATCAATAATAATCTAATATTTATAACACATCTGTCCGATGCATATGTATAAGAGCACCATAAGAACAAGAAAAAAATATAATTAAGGACATTCTATGATTCATTATCTTGGTTTCACAAAGCAATTAAAAACAAGTTATATAATCTGATTTCATTATTTCCTAAACCTATAAACCCAAGTTCCTCCTCCTGACTAAAAGTTATATTTGATGTACAATGTAAACAAACCTAACAAAAATATGGCCATTGCTACTTTGCATCTAGATGTTACCAGATGGCCTTTTTCTTAAGTTTAGATTAGCCCTTAGCAGTTTCTCTGCTGTGTGTTTTCTGTATGTAAGAGATGCTTGGGTAAAGTATTTTTGTGCTACTCCTATGTGATTAACTGTACTCTTAAGTTTGTTTGAGAGATTAATATTAACTTCCAATCAGAGCAAGATATGTACTTAGAACAATACTAAAAATCAACCTGGCAATCACTGTAGCTAATTAAATGTACTTATGTTTCAACTTATAATGACTAGAATGTATTGCTTCATCAGTGATGTGGTTTCTCTATTAACAATATTTTTGGCCATTAAGATTTATTTGCAATTTTATGGAAAAATGTTTTTTGTTGTTGTTTTTTTTCTGTTTTAAGGTGTCTAATGACTTAATGGAAAGATTTGCTTAGATTTTCATACATATTCTAACAAGTCTGTGAAATGCTCCTGTTAACAAAAATCATTTGAAGATCAAAATCTACAAACTAGAAAATATTCAAAATCCAGTAGTCAAAGAATGAATAAGGTTACACAAAATAATTTTTACTTTAGTATATAAAGCTTTAAGGTATGCTTTAATCTAAAGCTTCAACTATTATCATACAAAAAAAAAAGAAATTGTAAATCACTATAAAGGTTCAAGAAATTGTAGTTAACTTTTTATGTCTGAATTAACCCGAGACTACAACTTGTGTCTGAATCAAATTATTAAAGAGACCTGAAGCCAATATCCATGGCTGAGTCAGCTAAAGACTCGAGTTTTCAACCCATCTGATTCAGTCACACTATGCTGCAAAATTTCTGAGATCACAACCCACGAGTGGCTAATTCAAACTATGTTCAAAAAATATGCAATCTCCATAATCTGAAATTTAGTACATATGAAATAGTACTTAGAGGTGTAGAAAGTACTGTAGATTAAAGTACTATAGATTAATCAGAAGTTTTTTATTTATTAGAATATAATAATTACTTTTGGAAATTTGGAATTTTATAGTTATATGTAACAAGAGCTAAATTTTGCCATTTAGTGAAGCTTCTTAATTTAATTTATGATCTAAACGTAAGCCTTATTTTGACTGGCAACAGTATATTCAGTAGTGCGTATTTAATATTAAACACATTTACTTTCTAGCGAAAGCAGTGAAACTGCAGTGTCCATCTTTAACAAACAATCTCTTTTGCCTGTTCTATTGAACTGCTTGAGTGTTGAAACATTTGGGAAGGACATAGTCATACCTGTTGGTAAGTTTTAAATATTTTGAAAATCTTTTTGATCCTTCATTTTCGACTACTCTTTCTTTTATGTTTGCATGTTTCAACTGTTAATGAACAGTAAATGTTATCTCCCTTTATATACATAAAAATAATAGTAAGTTAGTAAAAAAAATAACAAAAAAATATAACTTCAACATGTGAAATTCCAAAATTATTTTTTGAGAGAATGTTCATCAACCAACCTCTGGTAAATGATTAATTAAAATATTGACCCCATTTTTTCTCTCATATAAAGTTTTTAAAAATTTTCTTGTGTTGAAAGAGCCTCTATCACTCATTTATAATTAACAAGATGAATGATTGGTTTGTGAATTATAACTACATCCATAATTTCACTTTACGTAATCAAATTAAAATTTAATTCCATCTGTGATAAAAGACCTAATTAAACAAGGCCCACAGTACATAATATTTTTCCTTTGCATAAATTGTTGACATGATACATGAGGTGTATCATGTTATGTTTGTTTTAGATATCTTATTAATTATTATAATTATTAATTATCTTATTAGATATTCTTATTTACAGAACATGCAGCATAACATCTAAGTCAAAGTATAAGTTTCTTTTTTTTTAACTTAATTTATATGTATCAGGAATTTGTGTGAAAATCTCCTAGCCATCTTTCTTTTTCCATTTCTTTCCTGTGCCTTCATATTACATCTCATCTTTTCTGGTTAGTTATTTTATTCCATTTTCTGGCTGCTGTGGTCATTCAAGTGTTATTAGTTCATTCTTCTTACAGCTCTTTCTTATCCCTCCATATTGAGGCCCAGCATGGCCAGGTGGTTAGGGTACTCGACTCGCAATCTGAGGGTCGCTGGTTTGAATCCCCGTCCCACCAAACATGCTCGTCCTTTCAGCCATGGGGG